TGAATCGAGTATTTGAACAGCACATTACACAGAGAGTGGATCACGTCAAAGTAGATAACCAACTTACGAACAAAACTAGAGTAAGGGATAGGCAACAATTTATTCCACATACTTACAGACGGTCATGCTCACTGAGTTCGTCAGTAAGCTTTGTCCGTTTCTTCACTTTCGATGATCAGTGACATCATATTTTCACTAACTGACATCAACTTACATGATAATAACCTTTGGACAACTATTACTGCTTGTATGCCAAAATAAATGGTGAAACTTTGTTGAAGAGTGAAACCAATGGCTTCACGTTTAATTATAATTTACTACAAATTAACCGTAATATCAGTTTAAAAAAAAAACAATCATGTTTAACTAACTGAGAGAAAGAATTGGGCAAGTGCTTAACACAGTGGTTTACTTGTCAGCTTGATACTCATCGATTTATCTCAAAGCTAGAGGGCTTTAAGATAACAGCTAATATACTTCCTCTGAGACCGAAGACAGACGGTGACATTTTATGTAACAGTACCTGGATGAAAACTGATCAGAAGTAGTGAATCTGAGGCAACATTTTAGATGTTGTTACATGTTAGGAATGTCCGTATGAACACATCTGTATGATAGCCTATAACACACTAAACCCAGTAAAAAGTTTTCTAAATGAAGAGGATCAATTGTGAATTCAGAGCAAATTCTTTTTAAATTTTCCCAAATCCAATTTTCAACGTTCATTGTATTGACTGAAGTTCCATTTGAATTCTTCTCACTGACAGCTTGAATCACTCTACATACAATGACATGTTCCAGCGATCATAAAGAAATCTTGTAATTTTAGGAATTTCCATCCAAAGCCTAACTTATATATTACTTATATAGTAGACTGAATATATATTCTGTTAGGATATTAATCAAATATCCTATGAGAATTATTTTTGGAATTTTATTTCTATCGGTCAATTCCTACTGGTCAACGTTATGGTTGTCCTAGATATCAATAACACGTACTTCAATTTTCTTTCCGATTGGTCGTCAGTGTGATAAACTTCAATGTTGTTTCCTATTCGACATAACTTTATAAATACGCATTATCTGAGACGTTTTATGATCCGGATCCGGATCCCTAGTCCGACATCATGATTTTCTTCTGGACTCAGACCTCTTACTTTCTGGATACTTGCAAAATACAGGTTCTACTTCATATCAAGTCTTCTTCTTTCACCCGATGGGGGTTGAGACACTCAGATTAGAGTAGCATGTCGTATCGCCGGATCTTCGATCCGTGCTCTCATTTATTGACTAAGGTAAACTCGCAATAGTTCAAGCATATCAATGACGTGTTCCTATTTATTGTCAAGGTTTGACATATAAACAGAATTTATCTAGTGAGCAGAGTAACAATGTCCAACTCATTTACCACAATTACTGACTGTTTCATCCTCTAACATTTGAATTTATTGATAAATTATGAAAAGTTGTTTTTTTTTGGTTAAATATATTGAACATAAACATAAACACCACAAATATTCTATTGAGAAAAGCTAATAAAAGTATGCCATAAAAAGAAACACAGTTCACCAACAACACTCAATCAATACTGTGAATAATTCACAGTTAGCTTGGAATTTCATTCAGTAACAATGTTTAGTTTTCTTCATACTAATACATACCTATAGATAGATATATCTCCAGAAGAATAATCAAATTCAATATAAATTAGGTCAAAATTCCGTATCACAATAATTTCACTTATCATTAAAATGAAATTATCAAATAGTGAAACAGATGAAAATAATCATTTCATGTTAATTAAGCTAACCAATATGAAGAAATTTCAATGCACATACCTAATGCAAAGCAGCAAAGAGTGTTTAATATATTTCTCAGGACCACAACAGTTCCAGTGAATTACTATTAAATAGATGCATCATGATTAGAGAAAATTTCTACATTTGATCAAGTACTCAACACCACAAATGTTAATTCACTTCCTCTAAAATAATGATTGAATTAGGAGTAGTGTGTAAACATTGCACAGTGCATTAGATTGTTTTCACATCTAACTTGGAAATTTATAATTTAATAAGAGGCTTGTTCATTGTGTGCACTATATGATCTTATATAATGTGAGTCAGTCAGTCAGTCAGATGCAACGTAGAACTTTGTACGTAAGTACATCAGTTCATGTCGGCATACCACATCAGCACAGAGATATAATTGTCAATTCAAATCCAATAGTAGAAGAGGTAGTAAAGGTATTAGAAGTAATCGGAGAGGTTAGTATGATTCAGTGTGAAAGGTTTAAAAAGTCAAAACTACAGGTGTTGAATAATCCAGAAGATTAGAATTCGAGAGAACACAAAGAATAAATGCACCGGCGTCATTGCGAACGATTTTGAGCCATGTCATTCAAGGTCGCTAACCATCGATTATTATCATCTCACGGACCCCAACCAGGTAGTCGACAATTACCGACATGGCTAAGTCCACTCGTCAATGACTTCATGGATTGCTGCCATGTTTTGATTTGGCCGCCCCTAAATTTCTTCCAACCTACTCCTACACTACAAAACAAAGCTCGTCGAGGCAGTCGGTGGTTAGGCATACGCAACACATGTCCCAACCACCTCAACTGATGAAGTTTCATTACTTCATCTATTGATCTGCTATTCTTACCTAGTACCCGTGTCCTAATAATAGCGTTGCTCACTCGTGTGTACCACGATATGCGAGCAATGCTTCGAAGACATCGATGATCGAAAACCAGTAACCTACGAATATCTTCTACTCTCACTGGCCATGTTTCACAGCCATTAAGTAAGACGGAGCGAACTGCTGCGCAGTACACTCGTCCTTTAGTCAGCAAACGGATATCTCGCTTACGTTATAAGTGACGAAGGTTTGCAAAAGCCAATCGAGCCTTCTGTATCCGAGCTGAGATTTCGTCAGTCACCAGGCTAACATCACTGATTAGACCCCCAAGATAAGTGAAGCGGTCTACACGTTCGACTACTTCACTCCTTATCATCACATCTTATATAATGGTTTACAAATGAATAATTTAGTCCAGTATTCAATGATTGTATCACTAGCGTTTCACCTTAATATTTTCTCCCAACTATCTTTAATCTTTGTCTCAATTTTCTCATCAAAATTTACAATACAATACAATAGCTATTTCCATCATTTCACACACAATTCAATATTGTACTACTAACACAGTCAAATAACAAACATACACAATCAGCATATTGTGCATAGAATGTTTAAATGTTTTTGTAAAATTGTCAAAACAGTTTGTGGAGGCAGTTATACTGTCAAAAAATGTTTAGTCCAATAAATTATCTTTACACAGGTTTAGTGGTGAGATCTAAAAAATGCCAAGTCCAGTATTTTTGACTACTTTATATATTCAATCGTCATAATAATATGTTTGTTTACACATAGATACATATGTATAGCACATTTACACTACACACAAGATACAATATTATGAAACATTAGTACACCAAACTAGTGTTAATTGTATTATCAAACTTACCTGTGGTACATTCAATATGTGAATCTAGAAACACTAGAACTTTCCCAGTACTATGTTCTGCACCAATCATTCTTGCTCTAATCAATCCTTCACGTTGTTTAGTACGAACAATTTTGACAACTTTTAACATTGCCATATATTCTTCCAATGCTTCTTTGAGATGAGCTGAATTTAAAAATAGAAGAAATCAGTAAACAAAAACACTTTACATTACATTAATCAATTATCAAAGTAATTTCTCTAAATAAGAATACTGTTAATAATATAAGAGGCATTTTAAATTAAATGAATAAAACCATGCGCTGATAAAGTTGGTCTTTCCTTTCGAATCATGCATTCATTTATTATGCAAGAAAACACTTGGTAAGTTTTCACAGTACAACATTATTCATAACAATAATAATAATAATAACAGTAAGGTGTGTACACGATAAAATGTAAGAGTTAGCAACTTTGCAATTATTTATATTAAGAGAGCATGATAAGTCTTACATCTTAAAAAAATATCACTCACTCATTCAGCCAGAATAATAATTTTAAAGTTTAATAAGCAGTTTTACAAAAACAAAATAGTTTTCAAATAAGATGTATCGTGGCTAGCAATTAATCCCAGGACAGATATTTCATCTTATATGACACTTGTCAGTCAGATATAAATACATTTCAGTACTGATGTTCATATGCATGTTTAATTGTAAGTTTACGGAAAGATAGTTTATCCAATATCAGCTAATGGACATCATCTATCACAATGGGTTTATTTATTTAGTAATCGGTCAATGGTAAATATCTCAATAGCATCCCGACTAACTTAGTGGCAACATCTTCGACTATGAAAATAAGCAATGAATGTTCACATCCCAATAGAAAGCTTAAGTTTCTGCCAGATTAGATGTATACCTTACTGCAGATTACTGCCGAAAAAGCATGAAACCTAAAACCAGAGTTTCTTACTAACTTCTTCTAACCACTAAACATTAACCTATCAGCATTATAGTATTTAAGTCATAATACAGACAGATAATAAATTCCATACTTCATACTGACCCTGTTGCAGATTTCATAGAATATTCTATACTTCACTACCTAAGTTACCTTTTATTCTTGTTCCAAGAATTAAGTGTGTGAAATAACCTGTTGAAACTCTTAAGTTGTCTATTTTACTACGATGTAAACATTACCATAACGTTACGTATGCCTAACCGCCAACTGCCTCGAGAAGCGATGTTCTGTGGTGTAGGAGTCGGTTGGAAAAAAGCTAAGTGCGGCCAAATCAAAACATGGCACAAATCAGTCAAGTCACTGACAACTGGATTAAGTCATGTCGGTAGATGTAGGCTACCTAGTCGGCGTCCACAGGACATTAGTAAACGATGGTTAAAGACTTTAAATGACATGGCTCAAAATTGTTTGTAATGGCGCAGGTGCATTTACTCTTTGTGTTCTAATCTTGTAAAACCCTCACAACCTGTATCTTTCTCTTTCTAAAGTTATCTCACTAAATTATACTTCTTGAATAATATCTTCAAACCCTAATCTTCTCCATAACTGCTAATACTTCTACTAACTCTACCACTATAGGATTTGAATTGACAATTGCATTTCGGTGCTAATATGGTATGTAGGTACGTACGAAGTTCTTTACGTTTTAAGTGACCAATAAAGTTTAATCATCAGAAAAAATTATTGTAAACAATTCATCAAACTTCATTAAACTTATTATCAATAAATAGCAGTTATGCAATATAGTTGAATTGTTACAACTTAACCATAAATATAAATAAAGGACAAGAATATTGGTTGAATAGTACATTTTTTGTTTTTTTTTAATTGACAATTCTTTCATAAAAATCAAGCAAACAATAAAATTGAATATATATAATGAGTATTAGTTTATTGAATAAAAAAATATAATAAAATAAAACCACTTAACACCGCGCTATTGAAACCAATAAAACAAATCAATCAGTTGATTGATTTGTTTTATTGGACATAAAATATTATTATTAGGAACAATTAGGAACATTTGTATTTCTCGTTAGATTACCACCAATGACTATTATTATAATGGCTTTTATTGTACTGCTTATTTATTATATAAAGTAATTGAACTAAATACACATGACCTTAGCTCAGAGAGCCGAGAAGCGATACACCATCAGCAACAACGAACTGGATGAGAAAACAAACCAGATTCCAGTGGAGGAGGAAATCAGGAAGAAGTGGTGGAAGTGGATAGGACACACATTGCGGAAAGCACCTAACTGCGTCACGAGACAAGTCCTCACATGGAACCCTCAAGGCAAAAGGAAAAGAGGAAGGCCAAGGAACACATTACGCTGAGAAATAGAGAAAGATATGAGAGGAATGAACAAACATTGGACAGAACTGGAGAGGGAAGCCCAGGACAGAGTTGGTTGGAGAAAACTGGTGGGCGGCCTATGCTCCATTGGGGGTAACAGGCGTAAGTAAGTAAGTAAGTTATTGAACTAAATATCAGTAGGAAGAATTATGTAGCACAAAGAAAGTATTCATTTTGTTTGTCATCGGCTATTTAAATCATCCTATTGGTATAAACAACTGCGACTGATCAATCTTTCGGGCATATATGCATTCTGTATGTTGTCATAAGCGTTACAAGCATAGTTGAATGATGGCTAGCAGTGGAATCCAAGAAGCACGTTTCATTCTATTTAAAGCTAGTCAGTGTTGATCTTTCTATAT